GGCATCGTCTCAGGAGCGCGGGGCCGTGGGCGAAGGAGCCAGGCGTGCCTCGGGGTAGCTGTGGGCAGAGGAGCTGGGGTTGTGCCGGAGGGCCTCCCGGTGCACTCTAGTCCGTGCGTGAGAGGGTGGGGAGAGGAATTACTCCCGCTTTCCTGTACCGTTTGTTCTCTTTTATTCTCCGCGTCAAGGACTCTCTGTCTAGGCTGTTCGCCCGCTGCGGGTGTGTCCAGTCTGTGGACATCTGTGAGAAGCCAGGAGAGAAAAAAGAAAAACTCACGTCCAAATTCTTCAACTGCAAAACTGTAACGGTAAAGCTCGGGGGGGGTGGGGTGGGGAATACTGATGCTTCAGTGGTCAGAGAAGGTCGCAAGCACTGAATGGTACTGTTTGGAATGTGAGATATGGGAAACCATTTGGGGGCATTGGGCAACGTGATTACTTACTTATTTAAGTTTACGTTATATTCTTTTGCTATCCCACTGTAACTTGTGGATTGATTTTTATTTTTCTTTTATTTGTACCACAGCTCCTTGCTGCGTCACCAGTTTCCCTGGTGTATCTGACTGGCCTGGGTGTCTTTTTCTTTTAGGGATTTCAAGTAGCATACGTGGTGTTCAGGAAACCAGCTGGTGTCCAGGCAGCCAAGGCCCTGTCACGGGAAGGTCCCTTGCTGATATCAACAGAGAGTCACCCTGTGAAAACCGGCATTAGCAGTAAGACAGCCCTAGCTATCTTCCTGCTAGCTAGTGCCAGGGAAAAACTATATCCCTTCCTCGCTGAATCCTACCCTGCATGTCCCGGATTAATTCTCACCATTTTGTACTGAGCCAGGAGACATCCAGTGTTTCATTGTCCTGCTTTTATTATTCACAAGGTAGCAATCTTCTTGTACTGGATGTTGTAGTCTGGTCCAGTGACCCTGTGGGAGAATGGGGTCACTTTGTACAATGGAAGGGCAGTTTTTCCCAACATCTTTTCAGTATCACATAGATTCAGAGAAACTGGCTGCGTCTTGCCCGCAAAATGGAATTCAGGCTCAATAACAGGCACCAGGTGTCTGTCAAAATGACAGCACTTGACAGGAACACAGCCCTGAATGTTGCACCTCTTGAGCTTAAGGCTAGCCCACTCCTGCTTGGGAAAGTGGCAAGCTCTTCCCATCGCTTACTGGCTGTGGCCTGGGCCACAAGTTGGTTGAGCTGTGGCAGTGGGGAGGCTGAACAGGAATGGGAACAGTGTGTCCTTCCCCACAGCAGTTCTCTCTAGAGCTGCCCAAAGGCATCACACTAGGGCTTGCTTCTAGCAGAGGCTACTGCTGACTTCTGCCCTCTGTCTCAGAGTGGATCGCCAGCTATGCGGCCTCAGTCGTGGATCGGGAGGAGCTGAAGGCTGAGGTGGACGCCTACATGCAAGACTATGACAAAAAGATAGCAGAGGTGAGGCCAGGCTGGAGAGGGAACCCAGCTAAGAAGCAGTTTGGGGAGAGAGAAGATATCTTCATGCCCCGGCCTCAGTGGAAAGGGCAGAGGGAAACACACTGGTTGGCAGGGTGGTTTTACTCCCAGTTGCTGGTGGGCAGTCAGGTCCTGGTTGGTCTACAGCACCTGACTCTTCCACCCAGGGCTTACAACAGGTATCCACAAATCAATTGGGTCCTGGCTGGCGTGCAGCGTTGTGACTGAGAGGTGAATGTCTGCCCTCTTGGTCCCATCCTTCAAATCTTGTGCAGAAGCAGGAGCTGTAACTTTGCATGTGTGTAAGGGGGACACTGGGGGGGAGCCGTGAATCAGGGTGGCTGGCAGCCTGGTTGCACTGAGCTGCCTCACCCTCCTGTCTTTACAGGAAGAAGCCAAAGCAGCCAAGGAGGAGGGCGTTCCGGATGAGGAGGGCTGGGTGAAGGTAACGCGGAAGGGCAGGAAGCCTGGCCTGCCCCGGACAGAGGCTGCCAACCTGCGGGTGCTGGAGAGGGAGAAGCGGAAAAGGGCCCGCAAAGAGCTGCTCAATTTCTATGCTTGGCAGCATCGCGAGACCAAGAGAGAGCGTGAGTGTCTCTTACCCCTGCCTGTGTCTCTTGTATCTCACACTGTGGCCCAAAGAGCGTCCTTCTTCCTTCAGTGGAGGTTATGTCCAGCTGCAGGTGAACAGTTGGCTAGGTGATTGTGTGAATGGCCTTGCCAGCTCTTGGGGGCCCCTTGCCACCACCTCTCCTAGCGAGGGCTGCTGGAATATTTTGTGGGAGAGTGCACAGGTCGTGACTTTCCAATAGATGAGTTTCTTCAGTCTGCACAAAGGCAGCAGTTGAAAGGGAAAACCAGCCTGTTTCCTCCCCAAGAGGGAGCTGCAACACAGCCGGAGATGAACCGCCAGAGCCCCAGCTTGGCACTCAGCCCAGGCGCAAAAGGACCTGCTCTGGGAAGTGTGTGTTTGCAAGTTTCAGGACTGAGCCCCTCCTGGTGTGTGGAAGTGAAGCTCCGCAGGAGGAGGAGATCTGCTGCTCCCGTGTGACCTGTCTTCTTTCTGCCTCTTTCAGACATCGCCCAGTTGAGGAAGAAATTTGAGGAGGACAAGCAGAGAATCGCACTGATGCGAGCCCAGCGCAAATTTCGACCATACTAAGTCGTGCCGAGCTATTTCCTCAGATGCTTGTGCTGGAGAGGGCAGGAGAGATGCCTATGGACTCACATGTGCCGAAGGATTTCAAGGAATTGAGGCAGCTTCGGGTTGGCCCTGCCCTTGGATCTAAAGTGGGAGATCCCAGCAACCGCCACTGGAGGGGGTGTTTCCTTCTGTCGCACCGGTATCCTCCTGCTCTCCCTGCCATCGTTCGGCCCTGTGGCACCACTTCCCAAGGTGCTCAGGTCAAGGTCCTGTGACAACCTGTATCTCCCTGCCACGCAAGGCCCTCCTAAAGTTTGGTGAGAGCTGGGATTGACCTAGCACAGCCTCTGCAGGGGCAGGGAATGGCTGAAGAACTGTAAATAAACTGCTGCTATGTTCTCAGAACATGGAATGCCTCTCTCTCCCCCATGGTCTGCTGTGGGGGACAGCTTCTTGTGTGCTGGGTGGCAATTAAAGTCATGGCTTGTATGCCTGTGCTCCTTTGCACATATTATCTGGGGGTGAGTAAGAAGAGGAGAGAAGTGACCTCAGGAAAAGCCCAACTGGGAAGTTCCCAGACCTGTTGTCACAAGCAAAGATCAGTGGTGTGTTACAGAGCCCTACCCCTTCCCTTGGTGTTTCCCTCCCAGGCAGTTCCCTTTCAGCCAGGTGTTGAGGTGCCCAGTCTTCCAGCTGTGTGCGGACCTCTACAGCCATGTCTAGGCTGGGAACTGCTGCTGTTCAGCACCATCACTAGAACAAGATGAGATGGCAGCCTGGCTTTGGAGGGAGAAACCAGACTCTCCAAGGCCTGTTTCCACTTAACCTGTCAGCAGCCCACAGGAGGCAGGTAAGGATGGCAACAGGCACATCCAGCAGCGGGGCAATGCTTTTGTACTGCCCACATAACATTTGTGCAGCCTTGGACTTAATGATTGTTCGCCCCAGTGCACTCTGTGATCGGAAAGGGGCTGTAACCCACCCACCCCCAGGCTTCTGCACATTTATTTTGCTGCCTGTAGCCTCGATACGGGTGTGACTGTGAATGTAAGCTGGAAATGGTGGTAAATTCCACAGAGCTGGGTTAAAATGGATTTACCCTCCCCTAGAAAACCCACTGCAAATGCAGCTTCCATTGCATGGGGAGACTGCCAGGCCTGCTTGCTTCAGTTGGCTTTTTGCATCAATTTAACTAAGAGGCAGATGGATCCTTAATATGCCCTATCTATAGCAGAATGCATGTAAAAATCACTGCCTCCTAAGACTGGTGGTGTAGCTGCTTGGGTGAGCATGCCAAAAGAAACGAGTTTCACTCCTGTACAGTCAAGAAGACGAGTTAATATTGGGAGATTAATCTTTATTTAGGACAGAAGTCATCTTTTGCCAACTTTTCCATTATTATTAGTTCTCCCAGATGCTTCAGCTAGAGCATTAGTGACTCATTCCCTAGGAGTTCATTAAAATAGCCTTCTGTGCCCAGGTGAGCTTTTAAGCTGACTTTTAAACAAGCAGCAGCTCAGAGTAGATCAGAGACACTGAGGCCCTCTGAGCTCAGGCACCCATGGAAGTAAGCAAAGAAGCAGAACACTTTCTTGGTTTTTCAGTAGGTGTAACCCTGGGAGGAGACTGGTTGCACCATCCTTGGGGAGGAGGCGAGATGAGCCGCCAGTCTCTTGCAATGCTACAGCTGGTGTTGCTGCTGCTCCCACAGTGGTTGCCTCTGCCTATATTCCTGCTCCATTTCATGGTGCAAGTTAGAAGCAAGCGAGGGGAAGGCCACTCTGGGCATCTATCCCTGTACTCACAGAGCTGGAAGTGAAGGAAGGATTCCTTTTCCCTCTGACAACCGAGATATTTTGCTCAGCTCTCCTCCAGGGAACCCCCAGCAGACCTGCTTCCACCCTGCAGTGAGCTAAGCTTCGGGAAGGGTATTGTGAAACTGATGTTGGATGTGAGGTAGGAATGGTGACAATTCCTCCAGAGCCTGCTTTTTAGCTCCCTGTTCTGGACTGCTGCAGCAGCGAGTGCTTCCTAGAGCCTGGCTCTGGTGTTCTGCGCTGTCAGGAAGTTGCTGATGATCCCAGACACCACCTTGGGCTCGTTCAGGTGCACAAAATGACTCCCAGGCACCTCTACTAGCTGGATGTGCTGGAGGGAGAAGACACAAGAAGATGGACCAGGAAAGTGCTCCCTCAGGCAAGCTGTGCTTGCTGTGTGGCACTCGGGGAGGGGGGCAGGGGGGGCGAGGCAGGACAGGGATGGGAGGACTAGGGAAGAGCTGGGTCCAGAGGGCAGTACTGACTTAGGAATTTGGCAGCAGGGGCAAAGTTGGCTTCCTCCCGTGTGAGGACTGTGCCGTTCAGGACAAATCACCTAGTGGGGGGTGTCCACTGAGGTGAGCTGCTTCCTAGCTCTATTGCTCCCAGGTTGGTGGCACATAGAGATGTAAGGATGGAGTTTGCTCTCACCTCTTTGAGGGTAGATTCAAATGCTTCCCGTAGGGCTTTCACAAAGTGATTTCTGCTGTCTAGCTTGTGTGGTACCAAGAGTCCATCTTGCGCTGCTCTGAAAAGCAACAAGGCTCAGTACAGCACATAGTGCGCCTCTGTTTGTCTTCGCTGCTGTCCTGGGCAGCAGCAGTGTCCCCAAGTCTGTGGGGCAACAGACCCAACTGCTCTTCCCAGGCTGCTTGTAAACAGCAGGGTTACAGGGTCATACATGGTAGTCAGAGGAGCACCGCACAGCTTGGCTAAGCATCTATTTTCTATCAAACTATCCGTTTAAAACCTTGGGTGATTGCCTAGTAGAATCAGAGTGGAGACTGGTTAAACATTATCCTCCCAGGGCTGGCTCCTTAACTGGTCTGAGTACATCATTCCCTGCCCCCACCCTGTCTTCTGCTCTTAACTTTTTCCTTCCAGCCAGCTTCTACATCTGCCCTCTGTCCCTTTCCATACTCCAGGCTGCTGTTTTAAACAGGGTGTGCCCTGCTTGGAGAGGGAGGTACCAGGGCAGTATCCTGGAGAAGCCAGCATTAGACCTCCTGCAGAGTTAAGATCATGCTGTCTCCTACTGTGCTGCAGGTGATGGGACAAGGTGACATCCCAGGCTCAAAGGGATGTACTCTGTATGGCCTAAAGAACTTGTCCTCACCATGAAGTTGCATTTCTGGACAAGCAGGAAAATCCTTAAGCTCTTATGATTTCAACAGACTAGGGAAGCCAAAACTGCACCTCATTTCCTAACTTCTAGCGCTTCCCCTCGTTTCTTAGTCTTAACAGCACCACACAGGCCAAAGTAGCCAGAGCCCTGCACGTCTTGCCCTCCAAGGAGATGGGAAAAAGAAGAGGACTGACAGAACCAGCTACCCACCCAGACAGCTTAACAGCTTGAGGGGCTCTGCGCAAGCCACTGGCTACCTCCCCACAGCTTCTCCCTGCCCCAGGCAGCGCAGGGGAGAGCTTGCAAGAGCTGGGTCAGGCCAGGGGCTCCAGTACCAGCTGGAGGAGGTGGAAGCTGCCATGGTTTCACCTGTTTGCACAGGCAAGAGGTTTTGGGGTCTGGAGAAGGCGACAGGCTGGGTAGCTGTGACTGGGGGAAGAGTCAGGCCAGGAGGAAAGCAAGTAAGAGCGGTGCTGTGGAGAGTCCCGTGTTTGCCAGGATGGCCCCTTGCTGTAGGGCCAAAGGACAGAAAGTCGTGGGACGGCAGCGTGAAGGCATGAGCGTGGGAAGGATAGGGCAGGTCTGGCATTTCCTTGGTCAGCCTTGCACCAGGGAGGCCCAGCCTGAAAATGCAGCGCCAGGCTGGGAGGAGGATGTGCCAGCTGCTCTCTGCCTGCTCCAGGAGCCTGCCCAGCCCAGGGCAGTGGTGGGGAACTAGGAAATGCCTCTCACATGTGAGGTTGTACTATTGTGCCAACTGGCCTGAAGGTCTGGGTGGCTGCTGCAAAGGAGTGGGTAGCAGAGGACTCCTCTCTAACCTTCATCCCCTCCACCCAGGGCTGCAGGGAAGCAGCGAGGGTTGGTTTGGCTTGTGCCTCACTCACACAATTATGAGAACACGGTCCTGAATCTTCTGCAAGAGCTTCACGCACTGCTCCACCGTGAAGGACTCTCGACTCTGCTGCAGGTACAAAGATAAAGAGAGCAGCAAAGGTCAGGGACAGCAGCTGGGGGCAGAGGGTGTCCCTGACCCCTGCCACACTAGCGGCTCTGAAGGCAGAAGTGGCTGCAGCCCCAACGCTGCTGTGCTGGGACATGACAGGCGGCCAGGCTGTGCACAAGAGTAGCTGGCTCTGCAAAGGCTCCTTCTGTCCAGCTGCGTTTCAGGGCTGCCAACAACACTGCCTGCTGGGATGCAGCACATATGGGAATGATCTCATAGCAGAGAAAAGCTTTAAAAATCCTTTTACTAAAAAGGAGACAGTTACAATACTCTGGCTTTCATAGCCTGGCAGTAGCACAGGTAGAGGAGGCCCTACTTGCTCAAAAGTGGCACAAAGCTATCGGAATATCAAACACAGGGACTTTGCTCTACTCTCTCTCCCCTTCTTATACGGGTGACCTGACAAAGCAGCTGACCGAAAGCATCTATCCCTCTGCTGCCTGAAGAGTTATAAGGGCAGGAAAATGTGGCCAGGAGGCCCTGGGGCAGAGGAACTGCTAGAAAAATCTGTAACATTTTCCAGTGACTCTGTAAGCTGAGTCAGTTAACGATCGAGTGCAGGCTCTTTTAACAGCAGCATTTAAAAGAGGTGTGGGAATTAGGGAAGCAGAAAGTAAACAGTTGGGTGGAGGTAGGGCCTGGGCTCAGTGAGCAGGCCTCCACTATCTCTGAGTTTTCTGTAAGCTCAGGGCTCAGAAGCAGCAGGGGACACGTCAGAAGAGCAGTGCTCACCGTACGGACTCTCATGTCTCTGTTATACACCAGCCCTGGAATGAAAAAACAAGAGAAGGTTTTCATGTCTCACAGGAGCAGGAGCTGCTCTCCTTCTCTTCACCTCTGGGGTCTGCCCAAGACTTTTTGAGACAAGAGGAATAGGATTAATTCAGATTTTCCCTTTTTTTTTTTAATTTCTTCAGCCATTCTAGGACTCGAGCACCAACCACAGTTGCTGGGAATGGAGAGCTCTGCTTCCAGACCTAATTGATGCCATTCAGGCTGTATAAACTTGTAGCTAGGGCACCCTGTACCCTGTGGAAGACAATGGCTGTTGGCAGCGCTCCCTTCCCACACCCAGTGTTGGCCCAGCACTGTGATGAGCCCTGTCTCCACGCAGCCCCTTACCAGCGGGTGTCTCGGTTGCTCCTCGCTGCAGTAGGATTGCCCCACCCTCTGCTGTCAGATGTCTGTTTGCTTCTAAGAGCCTGGGGGAGACATGGCAGAGAGATTGTTCTGCTGGAAAAGGGAGGAAGCAAAGCGAAAATGGCATGACAAGGTGACAGCGAGCTCTCAGGCTGCTTCAGAAAAGAGCAGGAAAAAGC